TTTTGCTTTCCTTCCGGGAGGGGGGCAAGCCCCGGGGGGAACCCCCTCCCCCCCCCCCCCCCCCTTTTTGTTCCCCGCCCCACAAACCCTAAAGTTTTCCCACCCCTTTGGGGGGGCCCCCTTTTGAAAAAAAAAAAAAAAAAACCAAAACCCCCGGCAGAATTCCCCCCAAAGCCGGAAAAGGGAAAAGGGGGGCGCCGGGTTGGGAGGTAACCCTTTGGGGGGGTTTACCCGGCCAGGGGGGGTTTTTTGGGCCAAATTTGGGAAGGGGAACGGGGGTTAAAACGGGGGGGAACCCCCGGAAGGCCCCCCCGCCCCAAAACTAAGGGCCTTTTTTGTTTTTTTTTTCCCCCCCCCCCCCCCCCCCCCGGGCAAACAAAACCATTAGTATCTTGCGTCGATCTCACAGGTGGAGCGTCGTTAGCCCACCACTCACCATCCTCTCTGATGCTAACCGCACCGGGTGACGGCGGCCCTTCCACCCCGGGGACACCAGCACCCCACCCCCCCCCCTTCCCTCCACCGCCTCCTCCAGACGCATTGGACAAAGACGACGGTCGACCACTCCTCCCCCCTCCCGCGCTGAACGAGGTGCTCCCGCTGACCACGCTGCCTTCATTCTCTCTACTTGCGGCGTGCGTCGCTGCCACAACTGCCGCTGTGTTGGTGTTGCCACCCATGGAACGGATCAGCCATCGCACCGTCCGGTCTTGAATGCGTCCCTGAGTCGGGCATCAAGTTGATGGAATGGGGTTATATTTTCAAAAAAAAGCAAATAAAAACAAAAAAACAGGAAAACTTAGCGCTGACCTCAAAAAAATGAAAAAATAGCACTACATTTCGGTTGGGTGCATCACACGAAATACCCAGACGTGCAAATTGGAGCCCAGACTATATGGGAAAGAAAACACACGTACACATCTATTTCGTACGTGGACACGAACAAACAACAGAGAGGTCACTTGCTCACCCACTGCTTTGGAGGGATGCCTGCCGGGTAGTCAACAAAACCGAAACCGCCGACGATAGAGCCCGACCATGATCCACTGCGGGCTGACTCGACAGTAACGTGAGACATGGCACTCGACTCCTCTAGGTCTCCAGACATCTTCGAGCCGAGATCGAGAGGTGTGCAGCACGATTGAGAGGACAGCATCAGCATCAGTATCAGCAGCGGCAGCAGCAGCAGCGGCGGCGGCGGCGGCGACAGCGGCAGCGGCAGTAGCATCATGCCATCATCACCAGCAGTTGCAACAGCACCACCAACAACACCAACAACAGACAAATCACAACCGCAACCAACAGAACAAAAAGTGCGGCATCTCTTGGCACAACAAAAACAAAACACAACACCCGCCATAATAGCAAACGGAAGCAAGGCAATCCCTTACATACGGGCCCTTTGGCCTTCTGCCTTCCTTCAGCCCGTCCAGACCAGCACCGGCACCCTCCTGCCCGATGGGAATGCCAGCCCCTCCGATTTTCAGATCTTCCTCCAGCACCAGATCTCCAGCAGCCTCTCCCTGTATTACTCGTTTTACCTGTATCACGATAAACAAGCCGACAACGGACAGACCAAATGGTTAAAATAAAAAAGGAAGGAAATAGGCCAACAAAAAAAACAACCGTGTGGCCCGTTGCACCCCGTGGGAGGCGCTCAACGTGCAGGTGGAAAATAACAAAGATGTCGGAGTGTACTATGCGACTGCCTGCTCAGCACACCAACTGTTGTTGCGAACCGCTTCCGTGCCCAGTGGCGTGGCATGTCAATCGAGCTTCAAGATCGCACCTGGCCAGACTTCAACATCACAACCAACGGATTGTAAACCCAGGGCGTGACACACGTGCAACCCTTCCGAACTGACCTCCCTCGTCAGGTAGATATACTCCCCCAGAAACTTGTGACACTTGGACAGCTGTATGGAGTTGGAAGAACCAACAGAGGAGCGCATCGCTTCGAGGACAGGCTGCAAACCAAACCAGCAAAACAAAAAAGTAGCAAACACGCACAGAGGCACACACAATCGAAGAGGGGAAGAGTCAACGCGGTAGTGGTCAGACTCGGCGCAAAGGGCACTTGCGTGAAAACAAAGGCGGGCACGTGGGGACATGGCAACATCTCCCTTGAGTTCGACCGCCCCGCCGGTAAAGGCGGGAAACCCTCGCTAGATGTAACGAATCTACCCCGCTCCCCCCAAGTAACAGCTCTTATGTCCATACCACGCTGCGTCTTTAACCTCGACCCGACCAACCAACGATATCACAGCACACACCCACACATCGCGATGTGCATTTTCATTTGGGCCCACTTCTTGATTTTACCCGCTCGTCTTCTCTTTTGTCAGCCGGATCGATGCTCCTAACAAAAACACACGCCCATCACGAACGGAACACAAACAGGCCACGCCTCGCTGGTGCTCACCACTCTACCGCTCATCTTCTTCCCGTCCCTCTCCTCCTCGGCTCCGCCGCCGCCGGCGCCGCCCCCCCCGTCTTTGCTCTGTCGCAGCTGCACGGCGCCGTGGGCCTTAACGTACTTTTCCGCCTGGACGAACCACCGCTTGACGGACAGAGCGTAACCCCGCACGCACCCCTCCCGAATCTCCTTTGCGTAGGACTGCAAGAACCACACAGCCACGAAAGGAGCGAACAGACCGGCGTGAGGCGTTTTGGTACCCGTTGGGGACAACGCTCAGAGATTTGCTGACGTGAGGTGAAGCAAAGTTTGTGGAATCTAGACAGGGCAGCAATGCCAGCAGCAGCTACCATCTGTGGCGATAAAAAAAAAAAACATTGGGCTTCGCTTCTATCACAGCAAGTGAGCAACTCCGGACTCAGAAAAAAAAATATCTCCAGTCGCTCCGGACCCACCCTTGTCTCGAGGCTATGTAATCGTAATCGGTGCAAGAAATGGAACAGAAACCCAGGGTGGCTTGCTATATCAAGTTCAGGGGAGAGGGGAGGGCGCATGGCATTAATTGTTTGGGTCGGACACTCGGGGAGAAGCAGGGAGGGGCTAAGCGATCAGGAAACTGACCACCGATTCACGGGGCGACATTGCTATATAACATAACAAAAGTAACACACACAACGTAACACAGTTTCGGGTGCACCTCATTCGGACGCCCCCCTAGACGATTCCAACCTCATATGGAGGCCCTGGAACCAAGACGCTAACGCCAAAAAAACAGGCACGTGGCGCTGGCAGTACGGGGACAGCAAGACGGCACTGTACGCGGGCACAGCTAAAAATACTATGAGGGGACTCACCGAGGGCTTGTAGAAGAGGGTGCCGCAGAAAACTGCAAGGGAGCACCCGAAACCGTCATACTTCATGACCCATCTCACCGCCACCACAAACCCTGCATGTCCAACGGTTCACACACAGGAGGAACAGGCGAGAGTCGAACAGATGTGTCTGTCTCGCTCGCGTGATGGCAGATAAGCGAGGAGGTTCATCGAGGCGAGATAACTATTCGCCCCCGCTAAGGATCTCGCGACGATCTCGAGGAGGGCACACGCGCGCAAGACAGAAAGAAGCGAGACGGGTGCCGGCAAAACGTAGGACGACTGCTGTGCAGTCAACCCGTTGAAAAGTGTGGAAGCAAGGTCTTCTGCTGTTAGTCAGCGCGCTGAATCTGATGTGAGGCATCCAATGGCCTTGGGGGAGTAAATAAATTTCCTCATGGTTAAAAGTGCTGAATCGGCGTATGGTACTAAGGAGGACGATCACGCTCATATCCTGTGGGACAAGCTGTAGAAGGACCCTGACCGTGACACACGCTCTTGATTTCTACCGAGCCCGAGATATAGAGAGGAACTGTTCTATCGATTCGGGAGCTCGAGCCCGCCTTAACGCTAGGAACACTGGTAACAAAAAAGCTAGAAACATATGCTGGTCATGTGGACTTTTGCCAACGCATTAATGATGTATCCCGGACTCATGTTTGTGGATAGAGATGAACACGGGTATTCTTCGCAAGAAAACACATACCGAGAAAAGAGCAACAACGAAAATCTATCAAAACTCACGACGCCCGTCTCTCAATTCCGGCAGCCTTCTTCTAATCTCGAGAGTGGCTTGGGCATGCCCCCTCGACACCCAACGCTGCTCCTCCTCCACGCGGGTTTCGTTGCTTAGCTCGGGGGCATTTCGCACAGGGGACATGAAGTGGACCTGAAACAAGAAACAGAGACGAGGGAAAAATGGTGATCACCACCAGCCCGGGCGGCCTCGTCACATTTGTAGATATGACGCCAACCCCCTGTTGCGGACACCCACTGGCGTTGTATTGGGGCTCTGCAGAGGCCCCGTGAGTGTTTCGGGGGGAGGGGGGGGGGGGGGGGGT